TGAAAATGCACCATCATCATTTCTTGAAGTCATTACTCAGAACACACCCCCACTGCATTTCATTTTTATTATCCCCATTTTAGGAACGATTAAATGGAAGCTGAGAGCAGTAGCAATGAAGCAAATCATGAGAGGCTCTGATAGAGACAGAAGCCTGAAAGCTTATTGGAATTGCTGCTCTGTGCCAGACTATTTTTAATGCAAGTTTATGCAGCTGTCCCCCCACTTACAGAGCCTTATAAATGATCCCACTCGGTACTAATTAGTTTTTCACCATCCTCTACCCTTTTAACTCACCATGCTATGTCTGCATGTACATGTGTGTGTGTGGCCCTTTTTAATGTCCTTCTCCAGATCCCTACATGCCAGAGAGATGTTCTGGACTTTCTGTGGATACAACTCTGATCCAGAGATCTCTGCTACTGTAGCCCCTATGCCTCCTAGAGGTTCCTTAGATAGGATCCTAGTAAATGTTCGCAAAGGCAAATACTATTTATATGTCTTTTAAAGAGAAGGTTGAGTAAATATATCAAATTTCTAGATGCTTGGAGTATTTTCTGAGTAATGGATAAGAAACTGGCAACAACGACAACTCTGGGGAAGGTTCCAGAAACTGGGGACAATGATTTCTCTGGAGAGGGAGACTAAGGATCACAGTCAAGAAGAAGACTTTCTTTTTATCATTTGACTGTGTGCCTGGTATGAATATTACCTTCAGAAAACTACGCAAGGAAGTTGGTGACTACCCGTTGGCGTTTGTGGAATACTGGCAATGTTTCAGTCACTGTTGTCTGGTGTTTGACTATAAACTCTCATCTTTACAACAACCTTATGTAAAACCCTATTTTACAAAAGGGAGATAGACTCGGGTACTATCAGTCACTCGTCCAGGCTGACATAGCTGGTAAATGGCAACATGGGGAAATGAATTTGGTTTTGAGTTCCAAAACCATGGACTATGCTGTGATGATTTCAAGCCCTTACAAAGGAACCTTTTGGGACTTCTTTGAAGAACCTGAAGAAATAGTGTGAAACCCTGGGACAGAGTTCACACCAACAACTTCATGAATCTTCCTCAACCTGCGGGTCCTTGTTAAAGCCTGACCATGTGCACCCTCACTGGGTATTGAGCTTCCTTGAAGATTTCCCCCAAGTCCTTCCCTGGCACTGAGTGTTCACCCTAAAGGTGGAAAAGGCACCTGCTCACACACTCTCGTCACTAAGTCACATTGTCTGAATGCAGGAGTATCAAAGTAGAAGCAAAATGGCTGGAGAGTATTCTAATTCTTCTCCACACACAAAATCTTCACTTCTTGACAAATTATCTTTTGAATGAGCACTCTGAGCCAGGCACTTTCCTTAAGGGTTACAAATACAGAGGCAAAGAAGGTCCCTGCTCCCATGGTGCATTCATCCTGGTGTGAAGAGACAGGCAAGAAACAAATAAGCAAGCAAGCAGAGCACCAGAAAACAAGCATGTTGAGGGGAATTAAAGTAAACTGTGTGACTGAGTGACTGGGTGACTACGTTAGCATGGGTCGGCAGGGAAGGCCATTCTGGGGAGATTCAGTTTACCTACATGACAAGAATGACAAATGTGTCCTAGGAGCTGCTGCCTTTCGGTATGCTCCAGCTCTCACCCCGATTTCCATTCCAAGCTCCAATTTACTTACAATGTGAATTTGTAATCTCAGAAGTTAGAGCTGGAAAGAACCCCTGAAGTCTTCTTGATCTCATGCCAGATTTTAGAAATGAGAAAAGAAAGATCCAGAAAGTAAAAAGAGCATGTCCTATGAGTAGTTAGTGGCCTTCCCAGCTGAGAGCCCTGTCTGTCTCTTATTTAGTCCATGTTGCTTCCACAAATCCAGATTTGTTGCTTAATTAACTTTCTAGTGTTGAACTCCTGTAGAATCTTTATCTTTGCACTGGCCTCTCTGGAGTCTATGAACACAAAACCCTTCCTGGGCCACAAAGGACTTCCTGGAGTGAGGGATCATGGAAATGACTGACTCAGGGCCAGAGCAGCAGTGGAAGAAAAGGTATGGCTTCTAACAGTGCAATTTCACCAAACCCTGGGAACACCCTAGGGCTGTGCCTGAGTCCTGCCACTCCCCTCAGTCCACAGGTGAGCCCTAACAAGGGCTGCCACATTTGGGAGCTGCATGGCTCTGTGAACTCTGTGAACACCAGACAGCTTTCTTCAGAAATATTCCCTGGCTTAACCAAGTCGATATGAAAATGTTCTGTGCTATGATCTAACCCCTCCCAAAATGCTTTACAGAAAGATTAACCACAGAAATTCTTTAAATAGCAAGTTCCTTTAGTACATTTAAAGGATGATCTATAAAAATTTGATCTACATAAAGATTTTATTCTCCCCACTTCCCTCCCCCCCAAAAAAACCCCTGTTATTGTATCAAGGGCAATAGCATAAATGTGGATTCTTAATGATAGATATTGGAGTCTTGTGTTATGTAATGGCTCTCATTCATCTCACAAATATTAACTGCTCTATGCAATGCACTCTTCCAGGCCGCTGTGAGGATATGATGATATAGAGACACAGCCCTGCCCTTTGGAAGCAAGCACACACGCAAGCCTAACACAGGACAGAAAGTGATGCGTGCTACGAGAGAAGTATGGACAACACTTTAAGAGACAGGAGATGAGAGATTATGTCTCAGCCAACGATCAGGGAAGGAGGCAGAACATTTCAACTGAGTTTCAGAATATGGGAAGGGTTTGTTTAACTGGACAGTTTATTTCAGGCAAAGGAAGCATCATGACGTAGGCAGAGGGGAAGACGTAAAGGGGCACATTCTCAGAACAGACAGGAGTCCAGGGTAGCTTGATGGGGAGACAAAAAATGATGAGGAAGAGAAGACAAGCATTGGAAGGTAGACCAGAGCCTTGAATGAAGAATGAATAAAATCTGGACCCAACCCATAAACTATGGAAGCCTCAAGTGAGTTTTTGGTAGAGAAACAACAGAATTAGTTACGTTTAGGAAGTTCATTCTGGCAGCCACACGTAGGACTGATATGAGTGGATAAAAGCAGGCATGAGGGATGAGGAGGCCCATTTAAACAATGGTCACTCACTTCCTGGAGCATATACAAAATAAGGGATAAATTCAAAAGCTAGAATAAAAGTAGCATTGATGAGGGAAGAGATCCTAACCCCAGGAAGGAGGAACGAGCTCTGTAAAGAAGTGTATGTGTTGGGGGGGGAGGGGGACACAGGCCTCAGATTCTGGCCTAAGGAAGTGAAGCTGGCTCAGCTACGTGTGGTGTCTCTTTAAGAAAGGACAGTTGTGAGAGGCCTCCTGCTTGCAACAGTAATCATGAGTGTACTCCATAAAAGCTACCCCAGCTGGACACTTCTGATCCATGTCTGAAGTCTCAGTTATTAACAACTCCTCTTCTGGAGATACCCAGAAGTGCCTGTTACACACGAGGGGCCCAGAACACTTCTGAAATGATGAGGTCTGTACAGCCTCATTGAAAAGCAGCTTGATTGGGATGGAGAGCAGAAGCCCAGGGAACAACCACCTCTTAACAAATGGTAACTTTAATCATGAACATTAGGCATAATTTAATCCTTATAACTGTGTCCTGACAAGAGGAACTACTGATATCTTGAGGCCCTTCATTTGGCAGAGTTGGATCCCAGGTTCTACCAGCCGGACTAGCTAGAGTAATGGCTGAGCATTTGCACAGCTAGCTGTCCAGGCCTCTCTGGGACAAGATGGTGGATTTCAGGGAGTTGATCTCCGGCCTCTTCTCCTTGTTACTCTGTCCAGAAATATATAGAGTGGCTTTCATTCTAGTCCAAATCGTACAATTCTAGTTGAACCAGAAATTCCAAAGCCTGTTTGCAGCTGGCTGACCTATCGTACCTGTGGAACTTGTCTTCAGTCAGTTTCCCGATAATGTTTTCACAGAAGAGGAAAATCATGAACATATTCATGATAAAATATAAATATGAATGGTCTTGGTGTAAAATAATTTGGGGGGTGCCATATTAAAAAAAATAAAGGTGTTTCTCGGCTATCTGACACCTCTGAAGTTTGAGATGGTAATATGTTTTGAGACTCTCTTGAAGTGAGACACGGTTGGTAGCATCTCCCAACCTTACTTATTTTTCAGCAAAGTGCCTCAAGGGACAAGTGCCCTGGAAAACATACTTGCAAAAAAAGCAGTAATGCCATTACTCTCAAGAATATTTATATTTAACTAGGAAACTAGAATAATCATGAAAGCTAATCCTTGTTGAGTGCTTGCTATGTGCCAGGCACCTTTTTAAGTAGATTGTATTTCATCCTCTACCTGTGATGTGCATGTTATTATCAATCCGATTTTACAGATGAGGAAACTGAGGCACAGAGTAATGAAGAGATTTATCCAAGGTGCTAAATAGACAAGTTAATGAGTAGTAGAGCTAGGAATTGAACCTAGAGCAGTCTGGAGCCCACAGAAATTAATTTCTAATAGAATTTCAATATTTCATCATGACCAGCTGGCAGTGGGAGAAATTCTGAGCAGATCCCTGCATGGTAACCCTTCAATCACAGTAAGTCTAAATCTGTCTGATCATAAATGAATCTAAACAGGCCTCCCCAGATACTGCATACAAGACAACTTCTGAATTGTACCACTGATTCGGTTTCTTAACCAATTTATGTCAGATTGTACATACATACTCTTCCAGTAAAAATGAAGTCATGATTCAGACAGCAATGTAATTACCAATCGCCCGTGGTAAAACACACACGCAAAGAAAAAAACCTCTTGATTAATCAAAGTTGTGAAAAATGAAGATATAAATTTAAGAAATGACTTCCCTTGATTTCTCAAAGTATTATTGCTCTCTTGCTCCCTCCCTAAGTCTAGAGATAAACACAGGAGAATGTTTTCCTTTAGTGCTGCAAAATTTGATATCTTCACCCCCCCCCACACACACACACACTTTGCTCAATAATTGCCAAAGGTATGTCCTACCCTCTCCCACTTTCTCTCCTTGTTCAGAAGGATTATCACCAGTTTGGGGTGCATCTGGTAGCCATCTTCACTGAAGGACAGATTTCTCCCTTCAAAAGTGACATTGATCAGATACCTGTAGAGATAAAATAAAAGGAAGATTAAAAGTGTGAAGAAGGCAGCAATAAGAAATGAACAAAAGGTTGGAGCCGAAGACCTTAGGTGCTTGCTTTTTGCCTATTGACCAGATAACTAGAACTATCTGCATTATTTATGCAGCATGGACTTTTTATTATTTTTACCTAAAGAGGTCTCTTTTTGGAAATGACAAACATGCTTTTTTAAAAACAAAGTCTGTTTTTTTCCCCAGCATACCTTTAAAGGTTTTTAAATTGTTTCATATCTCGTCAAGCTGAGATTTTTAAGAACTTCATTTTTTAATTTGTAATAAATGTTTTCAAAAAAGTCAACAAACTGCAAGCACCTGTTAATACAGATCTTAAATAATAATAAGGTATGAAGAAAGTATATACAGAGAAAGATAGGTAGATAGAGAAAAAGAGAGACAGGGTTGTAGATAAATACACAGATACCATTATAAAACTTGGTACTCCTCAAACTCTTGTTTGATTATACAATAGAGGCATCCACGTTTTCATGTAATAGAAATCATATGAAAAAAGAATAGTTTAAAAGAAGGGCACTTGGTTTGAATTCAGTCTATTGCTATGACTTTGAGCAAATTACTTAGCCTTTTGAACTGCAGGGTTTTTTTTAATTTTTTTTTATTTTTACTTAACTGCAAAATCTGGAGTAATAAAAGGACCCACTTCATTAGGTCTGCAAGGCTAAAGTAAGACAACTTAAGTTAAGCATTTACCACCACAGGGTCTGGTGCTAGTAAACCCTCATTAAGTGTTAACAATTATTAATCAAAAAAGGAGGTGGGTTAAAGGGCAAAGGTGGAAAAGACAAGAAAAGAAAATGGGAGTGTACAAAGACAACTTTCTGCTAAGAAATGTGTTATGCTTTGTGTCTCTCCCAGTCTCAGAGATATGCACACACTTTTTAACTCTTGCTGAGGTCTTGCCCAGCCCATATTTCAAAGAGTCATGAAATGAGGCCAGTAGACAGAGATGTGGTCCCACAGAATGCATCTGGAAACCAGATGTATTGAATAGTGAACTCTATTCACTGTGTAGTGAATAGAAAGTACCGGGGGGGAGGGGGGCGGCAGGAAAAGGAAGGAGAGGCATCACATGGAGTGCTCTGGGTATGTGTGCATAAATTAGTAGGAACACTGGAGGTAACTAGCGTCAGGGCAATGAAACTGTCTTCTTCTCAGACACCTGCACCCCACCTCCCCATCCCATTCCCCAGCTGGCTGTTACAATCTGATGTGCAGTTCCTTCACTTGGAATTCCCAAAGGCATGCTCATTACAACTGTATTAGAGCAACTGTGCTGATGGTAATTAATGTCCCTTTACCATAATGGCCCAAGGAATCAATAATGATTAGCACTGTGTTCACATGACATGCTACTCCAAAGCCTTGGGCTTGATGCTACTTGTGAAATAGGTCTCTGATAAAAAGCAAAAGAGGTATCTTATAATTACAGTGAAGGTGTTAAAGGAGGCAGCTTAAAGGTCCCTCTTTTAACTCTCCTTATTCAATGAAACAGAGACCCTTTTTTGATTCCTTCAGGTACCCATCTTCACTAGGAGGCAGTTCTTTCTTAAAGCTGAAATCTGCTCTCCTATAATGCATTGACACTTGCATGTTTCCTTAGATATTCTATACTCCTAATCTACTCCTTCTTTCACATGAGTTGTTCAAAGTATTTGAATATATCTATTCTGCATCCCTTATAAAATCAACTTTAATCCTAAAAAAGAAACCTTCAGCTCATTTAGGTTCATAATTTTAAGCCAGTGGTTGAGGAACCAAGCAAAGGGAGGTTGAATTGTTTGCTCAATGTTACATGGCCAATCGGGAGCAGAAGTAACATTTTAAGTGAAGTTCCCAGTCCCAGGTCCTTTCTACCACACCACCCTGATTCTTCTGTACAGCATCAGGTTTAACACCCCAGTTCCTTTATATAATTATCGTATGTCATGGCTTCAAGTTCCCTCCTCTGCCACATTGACTGCTCTCTCTGGACACCTCCCATCCATAAAGTGCAGCACCCCTAATCCATGCAATGTTCCATATAGCCTCCTCTCCATTCCTTGCCCTGCTCGTCATCCCTTGGCTCAGTGCGGCTCACCTAATCCCATAACTAGCTTGAAAATAACATTCAGGTCTCCTACAGTTTGCAACAAGTCCAACACTCCAACCAAAAGCCCTGTAGAATTCATTCTAGGGAATATAATTACAAAACCACAAGACAGAATATTTTAAACTAACAAACTGGAATTTAGGCATCGAACATCATTAGCTTGGAAATTATGTTCTTACTACAAAAATACTGCATTACTTAAAATAATTTCTGGAAGTCTTCAGAGAAAGTTTATGAGGCACATAAAATAATTTAGTCTTTTTTTTTTTTCTAAGAGAGATTCTTGCTATGCATTAGGGCACATGCACTCACCAGAGAGACAGAGAGGGAAATAAAGGGAGAAAGCATCCCCCAGGGGCCATGGCTATGTCGCAATCGCTTCTCCTCCAGTCTCCTCTCAGGATTTTGGGCACATACACACACACACACACACACACACACACACACACACACACACACACATCCAGCGTAAGTTTGAAGCCACAGAGTCCAGAACTCGAACCACTGTTGCCTACATGGGAGTCCAGTGACATAACCATTACACCATCTGCTGGTCTCAAATAACCACCTTTTCACCAGACATAGCTCTGGATAATTCTGACTTTATCTAAAACACTTTCAAGAACATTTAAGAGAAAGTTGCCATGTTTAGAAGATCATTTTAAAAAGAGAAGTTTTAAGAATGATTAAATTAATATGCAGCATGAAAAGATGTATACAGTCTTTCAAGATGTTGTCTTTGATGAGGATAACATTAAATAAGTTGAGAAATTTGAACTTCCAGAAAATAAGTCATACTCATCGGTGATATAACTGGTCTGAAGTTAAATGTCTTTGTTATACCTGCTACAGATCCTTCTGCTTTTCCGTAGAAACTGTTCTTCCTGGAGTATCAATCCACTTCCCATTATGCAAGTTTATTTTATCTACCTAAGCGCTTCTCACATTTTACACTTATCAAAAATATTAACAAAATTTTAGGACAACATACAAAATATTTTTCTCCAAAGTATCCTTTAATCACACTTCTCCTTCAGCAGCATATAGATTAAACATTCACATTGTGTTTTTCTGAGTAATTCCCTATGATGTGACAATAGTTGACTATTAGTGAGGAGCTTGCAAATATACATTGGCCTTGAGCAAGAATGCCCTCTGAATGGCAGGACAAATCATCCATTTATACATAATGAAAGTGTGAAAAAAAAAAGGTAATTGAAGGTGTAAGCACTTCTAGACATGATACCTTAGCACCTGAACTTCTGTTTTCCTCTTAAAGCAGTAGAGACACCATTTTAATTCCAGCTTATCAGATAAGGTTGTTGTGATGATAAAATGAAATAGATATGAAACTATATAAAATATAATACAAATATGAGTGTAAGAATATATCATTGAAACCACTCAGAAAAAGGATGGATTTGAGTACCTTAAGTCCAGAAATTTGCTTAATTTTGAGCCCCAGTGAATGACAATGTGATAACTACATTTTAACACACTTTAGTTATCAATGGAAGACATCTAAGGAATGGATCATGGATTCCGCACATGGTGTGTGTGTATATACATATAAAATTGCTTGGTGTCGTTAGGTTGAAGTTTAAACTTTTAGAAACCCAATGGCCTGTCTCATAAAGTTCTACATTACAGAGAAACTCAGATTGCTAGAACTAGAAGAAAACATATAAATTATGCATCAAGGACCCTCATTTTAGAGAGAAGGAAGATCCAAGACCCTAAGTACCTTTCTCAAGGTGACCTGCCTTTTAAGAGACTGGAGCTTGAGTCTTCTGTTTCTCAGTGTGGGATCTTTGTTACAACACCAACTGAAGTGAAGACAGTTTCCTAGAGTTCAAGGAGAGCATTTTACCATGTTCATGTCACAGGACACACCCTGGGCCATACAGATCCCTAATGCTGACTGAGTAAAAGAAAACATATCTCATTGCATGTCTCCTTGTTGAGAAAGAGCCTCAGAATCCTGTGGGCTCAGAGCCAATTCATTTGCTTGATACGGCCAAAGTCACACTCCAGTGAGTTTAATGGGGTCAAGCTGAGGTTTAAAAGCCTCTGTGCCTCTTTGACTTTGGCCATGCCATTCAGAGCTCATCCACTGCACCACATTGATATCCAAAGCAATGATTTTGCAGCATGCACTATGTGGGAGGCAACTGGAGGAGCTCTGCCAGGATTTCCCCAGCAGACCAAGAGCCCTAGCACTCCTTTACTTATTTTCCCCTCCATATTTTAACAAACCACTAGATTTTTAAAAGTTAATGTCTGTTAATGTGGTAATGAGAGAGATATCACATCTCTTCTCATCCAATTGTTTCATTTTCAGAGGAAGTAAATGAAGTCCAGAAGGGTTTTTGTGGCTTTACCAAGATGAGATGACAGAGCTGGGGACAGGATCCAGATGTCCTCACCTCAGTCCAGTGTGTTTTCCACTTACCTTCATGCCTAAAAAAGGAGGCATTATTTTTTTCATAGCCCTCACTTCTATTCTTCAGCTATTAAAAGTAAAATAACAAAGTAATATAATTCTTAGCCAGAAATTAAAACTCTCAATTCTTTGTTTATAATTGTCTGGTTCTGAAAATCACTAACTCTACAGTTTGGTGCCATTGGTATGTCACCTTCCAAAGCCTCATCTATAAAATACGAGAGGACTTGAGAGAGATCATGGAAAAATGGAATTCAAGTACAAGTTTACTTTGGTACAAAAATTTTTTGAAATCATTGGGCCAGGTGGTGGCACAGTGGTAAAAATAGGATGCTCTGCAAGGTAATCCCACAGGCAAAGAAAGGTTCCCAGTTCAAGTCTAGAGCTGAGTATATTCTTGCTCATGATTCAGGG